CACATCCCCACTGCAACCCCCCTGCAACATTCCCAGGTCAAATCTGCCCTGCTCCCCGCTCCGTCACAAGCGACAGGCACCAACTTCCCAATGTGCGGGGGGGTTCTGGCGGGACCCAACTGAGAGTATCAATTCAGGACAAACTGCTTAAAGCAGGGCACAGCCCAAGGCTGGGGTCTTTCCGCCTCTTAAGGCACCAAACCAGCCAGCCAGACCGAGGAGAACTAACACGGCTCCTACTCTGAAACCAGCCAGCCAGAGAGGATTTCGGTCTCACCCACTGGCTAACCACAAGTCACACAAGCAATTCCCCCAGACACTCCAGTGTCCCAGTATCACCACCAGTGCCACTCGTTATGGGGACAAATGGCTATGAAAACCAATACCCCAGTAAAAGAAAAAGGGTTCTCCCAATCCCCAAAGGACCAAGCCCCAGACCCAAGTCAACATACAAATCAGATCTTACCCACAAATCACGCTGTTGCCAATCCTTTAGAATCTAAAATCTAAAGGTTTATTCATAAAAGGAAAAAGATCTGGATGAGAGCTAGAATTGGTTACATGGAATCAATGACATCCAGTAATGGCAAAGTTCTTGGTTCAGGCTTGTAGCAGCGATAGAACAAACTGCAGGTTCAAATCAAGTCTCTGGAACATCCCCAGCTGGGATGGGCCCTTCAGTCCTTTGTTCGAAGTTTCCGTTTGCAGCAAAGTTCCTCCAGAGGTACGAAGCAGGATTGAAGACAAGATGGAGATCAGGCATCAGCCTTATATAGTCTTTTCCAGGTGTAAGAACACCTCTTTGTTCTTACTGTGGAAAATTACAGCAACATGGAGTCTGCAGTCACATGGGCCAGTCCCTGCATACTTTGCCGAGTTATAAGGCGTATCTGCCTTCTCTCAATGGGTCCATTGTGTAACTGATGGTCCTTAATGGGCCATCGAGCAGGCTAGGCAGAGCTGACACCAACTTGTCTGGGATGTCACCCAGAAGCATAGCATAAGTTTGAAATACAGACAGTACAGAGCCAATATTCATAACTTCAACTACAAAATTGATACACACATATAGACAACTTAACCATAACCTTGTCTTAGACACCTAATTTGACCCCGTTTGTACAAGTTTTGGTGCCACTACAGGACTTTGGTTGCAGCCATGTTCTATACGGTTCCAGATTATATCAATAACGTCACACCCCCCCAGAGCCTCCTGCACCCCACAAAACAGCTGATCAGGAGGTGTGGGGAGGGAGGGGGAGGCAGTGATCAACAGGGCTGCGGGTGGGCGGGAGGCACTGGCAGTGGTGGTGGTGGGGAGCTGACGGGGGGCTGCTGACGTGTTACTGTGGCTCTTTGGCAACGTACATTGGTAAATTCTGGCTCCTTCTCAGGCTCAGGTTGGCCCCCCCTGAACTAGACAGGGCTGGCTCCAGGGTTTTTGCTGCCCCAAGCGGCGGAAAAAAAACAAACCAAAAAAAAAAAAAAAGCCGCGATCGCAATTGCGATCGGCGGCACTCCGGCAGCAGCTCCACCGCGCTGCTTTCTTCTTCGGCGGGAATTCGGCGGCAGGTGCTTCCCTCCAAGAGGGACCCACCACCGAATTGCCGCCCCCTTCCCCTGGGCCGCCCCAAGCACCTGCTTGCTGGCTGGTGCCTGGAGCTGGTCCTGGATCTAGACCATCCCTGACAGGGGTTTGTCCAACCTGCTTTTAAACACCTCCAGTGACGGAGATTCCACAGCCGCCCTGGGCAATTTGTTCCAGTGTTTAACCACCTGATAATTAGGAAGTTTTTCCTAATGTCCAACCTAAACTGGCCTGGTGCTGCAATTTAAGCCCATTGCTTCTTGTCCTGTCCTCAGAGGTTAAGAAGAACAATTTACTTGAAAACTGTTATCATGTCCCCTCTCAGGCTTCTCTTCTCCAGACTAAACAAACCCAATTTTTTCAAAAAGAACAGGAGTACTTGTGGCACCGTAGAGACTAACAAATTTATTTGGGCATAAGCTTTCCTGGGCTAAAACCCACTTCATCGGCTGCATGCAGTGGAAAATACAGTAGGAAGATACATATATAAACGGAGAACATGAAACAATGGGTGTTACCATACACACTATAACAAGAGTGATCTGTTAAGGTGAGCTATTACCAGCAGGAGAGAAAAAAAACCTTTTGTAGTGGTAATCAAAATGGCCCATTTCCAGCAGTTGAAAAGAAGGTCTGAGGAGCAGTGTGTGTGTGTGTGTGTGTGTGGGGGGAATAAACACGGGGAAATAGTTTAGTTTTACTTTGTGTAATGACCCATCCACTCCCAGTCTTTATTCAAACCTAATTTAAAGTTTGCAAATTAATTCCAATTCAGCAATTTGTTAGTCTCTAAGGTGCCACAAGGACTCCTGTTCTTTTTGCTGATACAGACTGACACAGCTGCTACTCTGAAACCAATTTTTTCAATCTTCCCTCATAGGTATTCTAGACCTTTAATCATTTTTGTTCCTCTTCTCTGGACTTTCTCCAATTTGTCCACATCCTTCCTGAAATGTGGCGCTCAGAACTGGACACAATACTTCAGTTGAGGCCCAATCAGCACGGAGTAAAGCGGAAGAATGACTTCTCGTGTCTTGCTTACAACACTCCTGCTAAGACATCCCAGAATGATGTTTGCTCTGTTTTTTTTTTGCAATAGTGTTACATTGTTGACTCATATTTAGCTTGTGGTCCACTATGACCCCCAGATCCCTTTCCGCCGTACTCCTTCCTAGGCAGTCATTGCCCATTTTGTACGTGTGCAACTGATTGTTCCTTCCTAAGGGGAGTGACTTGTATTTGTCCTTATTGAATTTCCTCTTGGTTACTTCAGACAATTTCTCTGGTTTGCCCAGATCATTTTGAATTTTCATCCTATCCTCCAAAGCACTTGCCACCCCTCCCAGCTTGGTATGGTCCACACACTTTATAAGTGTATTTGTATGCCATTATCTAAATCATTGATGAAGATATTGAACAGAACCAGACCCCGAACCCTGCGGGACCCCACTCATTATGCATTTCCAGCACGACTGTGAACCACTGATAACAACTCTCTGGGAACGATTTTCCAACCAGTTTTGCACCCACCTTATAGTAGCTCCATCGAGGTTGCATTTCCCTAGTTTGTTTAGGAGAAGGTCATGCGAGACAGGGTCATGATAGACCACATCTACCGCTTCCCCCCATCCACAAGGCTTGTTACCCTGTCAAAGGAAGCTATTAAGTTGGTTTGACACGATTTGTTCTTGACAAATCCATGCTGACTGTTGCTTATCACCTTATTATCTGCTAGGTATTTGCAAACTGATTGCTTAATTATTTGCTCCATTATATTTCCGGGTACAGAAGTTAAGCTGACTGGTCTGTAATTCCCTGGATTGTCCTTATTTCCCTTTTTAGAGATGGGCACTAGATTTGCCCTTTTCCAGTCCTCTGGAATCTCTCCCGTCTTCTATGACTTTTCAAAGATAATCGCTAATGGCTCAGATATCTCCTCAGTCAGCTCCTTGAGTATTCTGGGATGCATTTCATCAGGCCCTGGTGACTTGAAGACATCTAGTCCAGTGGGTTAGAGCTGGGGAGGGCTGGGCGCCAGGACTCCTGGGTTCTCTCTGTGCCCCCATTCCTTGCAGCCCAGCGCCCCCTAGTGTCACACTGGGGCATTGGAGTCCCTCTCTGTGGGAAGGGACCTGGAATCCTGGATTCCGCCCCCGGTCCCCGTCCCCGTCCCCCTTAGCTCCTCGCAGGTGTGTGTGTGTGGTCGGGGGTCCCTGCACCCCGTGCTGGAGGAGACGAGCCCTGCTCTGTGTGTCTGTGTCTCATGCACACACCCCAGGTTGCGGGGGGGGGCTGTTTCCCTTCCCCCCACCTCTGTGCGTCTGTCTGGGCGCAGGTGCCTTTACACTCTGTGTCCTGCACCTCGCCCCACCCTGGAGCGGGTCCGTCCCATCCCGGCCGCAGGGGTTGGGGGGACTTTACCTCCCAGCTGTCCCAGATCCCTGTGTGTCTGTGCTCTGTCCCCCGCCCCCCGGTGTTGCTCTCTGCCCCCCCAGGGGGTGTTGCTCTCTGCCCCCATCCCCGGGGGTCTCCAGGGATGGAACCTCCATCGACACACCCCCTTCTGGAGGGTAACTGGGGGGACCCAGGGTGGGGGGTGCAGATCCCCAGGGGCTGGGGGGCCCATCCTGTGCCAGGAATTAACCCCCCAGCGACAATTCCCCCTCCAGTGTGACCCTCCCGCACCTCCCAGGACCAGCCCCATCCCTGGGGACGGGAGCAGTTGCTCTGGAGACCCCATATCAGGTTCGCATCCCGCTGTGGGGACTGGATTTACTCCCCCCCCATGTGAGGTGGGAGGAAGGTGAGGCACATCCCGCCCCTGGCAGTGGAGACAGGCAGGGCTGTCGGGAAGGGGGGGCACGGTGCCAAAGGGGCTGTACCCCTGCCCCGTCCCTGCGCTGGGCTGGGCAAGGGAGGTGCTTCGTGCCAGCTCCGCTCCCTCCCCCCCCACTTCCCTCATCTCTGCCCTTTGCCCCCAGCAGGGAACCAGGTGTCTCCACTGTCCCGGCAGCTCCCGGCGGGTCCCGCAGCAGCGACGGGCGATGGGGCGAATCCCCCACAGACCGGGCAGCCCTTGGACAGGGATTCTCCTGGCAGGTCAGGGGGACGGAGTCGGGAGAGGGGCGAACGTGGGACCCAGGTGTCCGGGACACAAAGGCCTCCAACAGGCACCATTGCAAATGAAAGTAGAGGGGCTGCGGGTCGGGCGGGAGTGAGGGGCACCGGCAGAGCTGGGGGGAGCCAGGCTAGCAGGGGTCTGTGGGTCAGGATTGAGGGGCACTTGCAGAGCTGGGGGGAGCACAGGGTTTGGCTGGCAGGAGCAGAGTCCGACACTTCCTGCCCCAGGCTGGTTCCATCCCTGGGCTCCCCCGAGGCTGCGCCCCACAGCATTGGGGTGGGACCCATCAGATGCCGCTTTGTTCCCGCAGATCCTGCTTTGCATGAGGGGATTAGCAGGGATCAGCTGTTTGTGTCTCTGTCCCAGAGCACTGAGGGTGCACCAAGCTCCCCTCCCCCCAGATCGAGACCCAGACGGGTCCCACAGCAGCAAAGAGCAATGGGGCAAATCCCTGACAGACTGCTGGGGAGAGGGGACGGACCATGGGACTCAGTTGTTTGGGACACTAAGGGCTGTAACAGGGGACAGTGCAAATGAAAGCAGAGGGGTGCAGGTCGGGAGTGAGGGGCACCAGTTAGTATCAGTCTCTCTGGTCTCCCCCCGGCAGCCTCCGTCCTGGGCTCCTGCCTCCAGCCGGCGCCGGCCCAGACCCCAGTGACCACCACCCCGCCGAGCACGGTGCAGATACGGAGCCCAACTAGCCCTGTCCTCTCCACGGTGGATCTGCACGTCTCTGGTAAGTGTCACCCCCAGACCTGCGCTGACCCCGGGCCCTGCCCCGGCGATGGGGCTCTGGGCGTCTCCCCCTTGGGAAGAACTCGGCTAGGTCACAGGGGGAAACTTTCCCCAAACTCAGATACCATGAGGCAACTCAGGTACCCCAGCACCTGAGAGACAGTGACCCCCCCCCCAAGCTGTGGGGCTCTGGGCCCCCAGCCTCCCCTTTTTCCTCCCTGAACTGGGAGGCAGAACTGCCCCAGCCTACATGGATCTGAACATAGACAGGGCGTGACCCCCCGCCAGGTTCTGCTATCGCTGTTGGGATTGATTATCTGCATCGCATGGGCCCCGAGGGCCCCCCTGTGCCAGGTGCACAGACATCCCCACACAGAGCTCACACCCCACACCCCCCAGAGCCTGGATCAAACCCAGGAGTCCTGGCTAAGACCCCCACTCCTCTAACCCACCGACCCCCCCTCCCAGAGCTGGGATAGAACCCAGGAGTCCCGGCTCCCAGAATTCCGCTCTTTCCCAAATAGCCCTACACTAAAATTGGTGGCTGGATAACAGCTCACTACTGCTACCAGGCAGCTGGGTCTGAATCCCCCACGGGGCTGTGCAGCAGGAGTCCCATTGTGCTGCTCCTCCCAGTGACGCTCTCTCTGCTCCCAGAAATCCTGCCCAAGCCCACGGTGACGCCCGGCCAAATCCAGGTGCTGGAGAACTGGACCTTCACCCTCACGTGTAACGGCTCCCCCAGCGCCGACACCGTGCTCTGGCTCCGGGACGAGGTGTCCCTCGTGCCCAGTGAGCGGCTGGTGCTGTCCTCTGACAACCGGACCCTCACGGTGCTGGGTGTCACCCGGGGCGACGCCGGCGCCTACCAGTGCGAGGTCAGGAACCCCATCAGCACCAACCGCAGCGAGCCCAGCACCGTGACGCTGGCCTGTGAGTAACTGCAGCCCCGTCCCCCAGCCGTGCTGCCCCTGGCCCTGCCGGCATCACCCAGCCACGGAGATGCAGCCTCCCTCCCCCCCCCAGCATGGGGCACAGGGGAAGTTTATGGAGGGCCTCTTCCCTGAAACTGAGATGCAGCTGCCTCTGGGGTGGATCATGGGAGCTGTTTATACAAGCTTCTCTGGCCTGGTGCTGAAATGCAGCCATCTCTGGGTTGAGGCACAGCGGCTGTTTATACAGGGACCCGCAATCCATCCCCTGACCTCTTTTCTCTCTGCAGATGGGCCAGACTCTACCAGGATAGACCCTACAGGACCCATCAACCTGACCTTTGGGTCGCTTCTGAACCTGACGTGTGTCGCCGACTCCGTCCCAGCCCCCAGCTATCGCTGGGTTCTCAATGGCACCGACACTAAGGAGACCGGGAGCAGCTTGACCTTTAATCTCACGACCTGGGCTCAGCAGGGGACGTACGAGTGCCGGGCTCACAACCCCGTCACCGGCCGCACTGCCTGGGCGTCTGTCGCCGTGCGGGTGACAGGGACGGGTGAGTCCCTGGGATGGAGCAACACGCTGCAGACACAGGGATCCCAGTGCTGGCACCAATGCCCCAGTGCGGTGCTAGGGGGCCCGGACTGCAGGGAGTGGGGTGGGGGGATTGTGGCTGAACCATCTGATCCAACCCCCCCCCCATCTCTCCTCCAGACGCCCCTCGTCCAGCTCTCTCTGTCGGGGCTGTTGCTGGGATCGTCATTGGGTCACTGGTGGGGGCGGCGCTGGTCGGAGTCACGGTCTATTTCCTCTGTGAGTAACAGCCCCCACCAGGACTCCTGGGTTCTCTCCCCGGCTCTGGGAGGGGAGTGGGGTCTGGTGGTTAGAGCAGGGGGGGCTGGGAGCCAGGACTCCTGGGTTCTCTCCCCAGTTCTGGGAGGGGAGTGGGGTGTAGTGGGTTAGAGCGGGAGGGAGGGGCTGGAAGCCAAGACCCCAATTCCAGTGTCTCTGGTGATTCCTCCCAGACTCTCGCTGCCGGAACGAGACCCCCAGGGAGAACGGGGCACCCGTCCCAGTGTATGTGAACCAGTCCGCTACAGCCTGGACAGGGCCAGTGGTGAGTGACAAGGGCTCAGCCCCCTCCCCCGCTATTCCAGGCCCGCCCCCTCCTCTGTGGGTGCCCCTCAGTCCCAACCCGCAGCCCCCAGCCAGTTTACCCTGTTCCCTTTGGGCAGGGGTGGGCGGGGGTTACACAAACCCAGGGTCCGATTGACTGTCCCAGGGTCCCCCCTCAGGCTTAGCTGGGGGGCTGGGAGGTCTCTGGGGTCTGGTGATAATGACTCTCTTGCCTCTGTCTCCCGCAGGCCCAGCCCGAGAACCCCCCTGACCCCAGCCCCATGTACCAGGTGAGCGCCGTTCCCTTGCGCTGTATCCTCCCCCTGGCGGGGGGGGGGGGGGGG